GTGTAGCCCAGGCTGCTCTGGAACTCGCTCTGTAGCCCAGGCTGTCCTTTGCCTTCTGAGTTCTGGACTAGAGGCGTGTATCACCAGGCCTGGCTTATCACTCACTGGCTTCTTAAACTACAGAGTTGGAGGTCGAGCTCCAGGGTGCCTGACTAGCATATGCAGCACTCGGATTCACCTCTCAGCACTACAAAACCCCCAGAAACTACACTCTTAAAGGAGCCTGGGTGATGAAGTCAACTGAGAACAAAGTTTGCTTTACGTGTTTTCTGGAGATGGTTTTGTCGATCACCAACTGGTAAAAGCTTTTCCTACAGTCTCCTGCTGTTCCTCTGATGTAACTACCTAAAGAAACACCCTTAAAACAACAACAACAAACCCTAAAAATGGAAAAGGAAACAAAAAGGCCACAGCCTGCCCCGTGCCCCTGCAAACCCAGACTCTCCTCCTAGGCTCAGAGCAGTCATGAACAGTCCAGGACAATGCTGATGCACTGGTCGGGGGCAAGACACTTACCCGGACAGATCAGGCTGGGACTCCGTGATATACACACTGAACCGCTTCTTGGCTGCCACGGCTTCTTCCAGGACCCTCAGGACAACTCTGGAGTAGGCGTGAGTCAAAATTCTCTATGGAACAAGAAACCTCTATCAGAGTGGCAAGCTGCCAGCCACTGCCCTGCACTGCCCGCACCCTCATAGGACACCTGCTGGCACCTGTGCTACAAATCAACTAGGGTGACTCTGACAGTCCACTGAAGTTCAAGCCCACTGATCAGTTCAACACTTCTGCCCAAGGAGTAGGGCACAGATCTCCCCAGCAGACCCCAAAGGTATAGAAGCCAGTACACCTGAAGGCCCAGGAGACATCACGGGTTGGCTTCCCTGCCAATAAGACAGAGTTTACATACTTCTTACAGGTGCCAGGAAGGGTGGGTAATGCTGTGGCCTGATGAGGCCACCGGCAGTGGAAGGCCAAGGGAAACCGGGCCCTACGTGCCCTTTCGTCACGTGGTCCCGCTGTGGCAGACCCACCTGATTTTTCTAGAAGGGTAAAAAGTCTAATAAGCATCTAATAACTATATACAAGTTAAGCTAAGACATTTTCCAACACCGACAAGCACTGTGGGGTAAATACAGCTGTCTGTGGTGCAGATAATGACCTGTGGGCTCACACATAGCCTATGCTCTAAGAAGGCAGAGGACTACACAAGGCAAGGTGGAGGACAGGGCTCATTAGAATCACAAGTGCTCAAGCCTCATCTCAAACCTGAGGAGTCTTCATTTAACAAGTCCGAGGGTGATTTGCCTGCAGGTTCAAGATTCAGCAACTCTGCGTTTTTAACCCAGCTGTTAACCCAGGTTAAGAAGTTGTGGGTGGTGTGAGCAAGAAACCCACAGCATAGGCATACACTGTGAACTGAGGAGTGCCATGGCCTCCACTTGACCCAGGCCTGGCCCTGCCATTAACACAGCCCCATCCCCACCTCCCAGTAAGTCACATATTTAATGGCATGCTTCAAAGGTAGGGAGTACAGTGAAGCCAAGGACAACATCTAAGAACCACGATGCAAGTGAATACAGGCATGGTCTGTGGAGGCTGAGGTGGTGGGAGGAGGCTGAGGTGGTGGGAGGAGGCTGAGGTGGTGGGAGGCTGTGCTGATGGCTCAGAAAACACGAAGGCTTCACCACCTGCTGGGGTGGACAAGCTGGAGACTGGCTGAACCTGCCACTCCTCACTTAACCAGGGACAGGTCACAGCTATAAAGAAGACAGTTCCACCCAGTGCATGCCAGTGACCATGGTAACCGCTGGTCTGGGCAGACCATTTCAAGTTAGAGGACTAACTACAAACCCAACCATAAAACACTTCTTCCTTAGAGCAGGTGAAATGGCTCAGCGGGCAAAGGTGCTCGTCACCAACCCTAATGACCCCAGTTTGACCCCCAGATCCTACACAGTGGAAACAGCCAATTCCTCTGACCTCCACACACCCACTGTGGCACCCGTGTATACCCACACAAACACATAATAAAGAAATAGATGGAATTAAAAATACTTCTTAGAAAGATAGCTTATTAAGAGGCTATGGGTGTAGTTCAGTGGTAGAATATGTCCAGCATGTTTGAGGCCCCTGCTTTCATCCCCAGCTCCACAAAAAAGAAAAAAGTGAAAATCAAGACTCACTTATGTCGGTCTCATGTTGTTCTCTGAGTTCCTGATGATGAGCCTCTATACTATTTGTTTACAGAGCATTGGCTACACACGGCATCTCATTTTCACCTTACCCAGTCAGTCAGCTGCTGCTGTCCTTATAAACAGACGAGAAAACTGCAGGACAGAGAAGTGACTTGTCCATGGTCCCAGCAGTAGGTGGCAGAGCCAGGATTTCAGGCCCAGCAGCCTGACTCCAAAGCTCTTGATTCTAGCAGCACAGGGAAGCCATCTACTCACCGCCCCATCTTTGATGAAAGTATGGCACAGGTCCGCAATTTTATTTCTTGACAGGGATATTCTCCTGAGGAAAATCTCTCCTCTCTCAATCATGATCTTCTTACATTTGGAGTAATCCTGGGGAGGCAAGAGCAAAATGAAGGGAGGTGATCCCGGGAAAGCTGACAGTCTCTGTAGGCAAACAGAGAAGAAGGGACTCCTGAGGGAGGACGGGGCTTACTGAGTACTCCAGAGAGGTGAGGCTGATGAAGCGCAGGAAGAGCTCTCCGCCAGAGGACACGGCCACAGAGGAGTCCACACCACACAGGATTTCTATGGCATGTGTGAGATTCGCTCTCAGGCCCTGAAGTGTCTCTCCTGTAACGACGAAGTAAGGAATGTGATGTTCATTTATGACCATGGCTGCTGCTGGTCCGCAGTTCATCTGCTCTTTCAAAGAATACTGGATGCATCTCTGTGCCAGCCACTGGGATATGCTGTGCCAGAGAGGGCTCTGTTCTCATGGAGCCATAAACAAGCACAGAAACAAACAGACAAGTTACAGACTGTAACGAGGACGGGAAAAGGTCGGATGATGAACAAGGTCAGATGAGCTACTTTACAGGGCTGGCCTCTTGCATTATTTCAACCAAGAATTGAATAAGAAAGGACCTGGAGGCTGAGTGGTAGTGGTGCATGCCTTTAAATCCAGCACTAGGGAGACAGATCTTGGTGAGTTCGAGGCCAGCCTGGTCTACAGAGTGAGATCCAGGACAGGCACCAAAACTACACAGAGAAACCCTGTCTGGAAAAACCAGGAAAAAAAAAAAAAAAAAATCCAAGAGGCCAGCAGGGCTGAGCTGACGTGTTCTGCAGTAAGCTACAACATGGCAGGTCATTACTTGATGGCAGCAGATGAGATCTGTGAGACAGTGCAGGGTCCAACGTATCTGAACATATGTTTATACACTGGGAAGACATTCAAGGCTGTGTTAGAGAAATTTTCCTCTTGGCCACCCCATGAGGATGAAAAAGGCACCATTATCACTTTGTATTTATAAGAGGTCGGATTATACCCAGAATCTTAAGACTTAACAATGCTTGTTTAGTAGATCCCAGTAAATATTGATACCAGAATTTTTTGTTTGTTTTTGGAGACAGGGTTTCTCTGTGTAGCGTTGGCTGTCCTGGAACTCACTCTGTAGCCCAGGCTGGCCTTGAACTCACAAGATCTGCCTGCCTCTGCCTCCCGAGTGCCAGGATCAAAGGCATGCACCACCACCACCACCACCTGTCAATACCAGAATTTATTCTAGGACATTCTCTATAGCATGCACACAGAATCTAGGACAAGCTAGCAGCTTGGTACTCATCTATAAAGCTAAATTACTGCTATAATTTAGGCCTTCTGGCTCAGGGTGTATTATTGACTCTTGATTCCAAGCGTATTTGTAGGTAGATGAGACTCTTTAAGGTGATAGCCTGAGGGATCCCTCCAGGCTGAGCTTGAGACTTTAGACAGACCTGCATGTCTCCCTGTCCACATTTCTAAAAGTCACCTGAAGACTTTCCTGAGGCCCAAACTATTTGAGGCTGACTCTTTGTACCTTTGTCTCTCTTCAAGAACTCCAGCAAAGTCCGGATGGCAGCCACTCCTGAGGCCATGTTAGGATCGCCTTTCATTTGAGACTTAAAGTATTCGATTACCTCTAGGAAGAGAGGGGGAAAAAAAAAGGGTCATCACAGAACTTAGCAAGATGAGGCCAGAGAGCTTGGTTTCAACTGCCGGCCTTAAGAATAAGAAGCAAAAACTATTTTTTTTTTTTTTTTTTAAAGAAAGCAGCTTTGAAAGTTACTGGGCAGAGCAAATGTTGATGGGGATGGCGAAGATACCTCCGTACTGTTGGCAGGGGCACACCTCATTGGTGCACAAGGCAGAGAATTTAGGGGCCAAGCCCAGGGGCTAGTAGTCTAGGGAATCCTCTCATTCACTTTATTAATTCCTCCTGCTCCCTTCTGAGCAGTCTACAATCAAGTCTACGCATGTGCACAAATGCAAATATAAAAATGCATACAGTTCTACCCAGTACACTTTTTAATTAAAATCAGCATTTTAGTTTGTTTTGTTTTTCATTTCACAAACACCTTCTGACAACCGTGATGGACAAGCAAACCCACGACGCCTTATCCCTTCCAGCAGGGGCGACGTGTCTTTCTGCTGCGCACAGAGGACACTCGGGGCTGCGGTGGCCTGCACACTGCCTCCTCTGAGAGCCCGTTTTGGGGGGCGGAGGCCCCTCGGACAGCGCGTGCTGGAAGTCAGCTGGCGAGAGGCCCAGACCCCGGCCCAAGAGCGGTGAGTGACGGCAGGAAGCCGGCTCGAGCCCGGGCTGCCCGTGTGTCCCCGCCGCGGCGGACACCCCGACTCACCCTGGTCCTCCATCGCTTCCTCGCGAGCCCCGCAACCACGCCGGCAGCAAGCCACGGGGGCTGACAGCGCGCCGCGCGCTCTCGCGCATCACTTCCGTCGCCTCGGGGCGGACCGCTCACGTCACTCGTCGGCGCCGGAAGTTGGCGCGCGGGCGCGGTCGTCGGACCGTGGGCGGCTCTTCACCGAGGCGTAGGGGCGCCATGGCCGCGGACGGTGAGGGTGGCGCGGGCGTGGGACGCGGAGCAGGGCCGGGAGGGACACGTTTGGTCTCTAGACGAGCAGCCAGTGCATTCGTTCATCCACCCAGAGGCTGTTGGGACAGGGTCTCCCGCAGAACTCGCTGTGATGTCAAGGGTGGCTTTGAACGCTTGATCCTCCGGTCTCTCGAATGCCGGGAATCGCAGGCGTGCCCGATCCAGCTCCATTTCATGGGGTACTCAGGTCTTCGTGCATTCTCAGTAGGACATGCTGCCAGTTGAGGCACATCCCTAGCCCTCGTTATTTTTTATGTGGGCGCTCTCTCCTGCCTGCGCCTTCCGAGTTCCGAGGCCTGCATTAGCGCGCCCAGTGTGTCATTCAGTAAATATTGAGATTGCCCCCTGGGGACTGCACATTATTTTCTAAACTGGGAAGTACAGCACAGAACTCAACACAGGGACGTTTTGAGCGGGTGGTGTCTTATGGTCGAGAGAGGTAGTTGGCAAGTGAAATTAATTCCAAGAGGTGACCAGGGCTGTGAAGACAGATGTGTGGCAACTAAGTTCAAGAGGACTGTCATTGCGTTTCCTCCCAAAGATTCTTGCATTTATTTATTTATTTATTTGGTGTGTGTGTGTGTGTGTGTGTGTGTGTGTGTGTACGCTCATAAGTGCCTGTGGAAGTCAGAAGACAACTTGTGGGACTTGGTTTTCTTACTCATTGTTTAGGTCTCAGGGATTGAACTCAGGTCATGGGGCTTGTCAGCAATCGCCTTCACCAGCTGAGCCCTCTCGCTGGCCCAGGATTATTTAGATTGACAACATGAGAAGCATCACTTTGGCTACTGTGTGAAAAATAGATTATGGGGAGCAAGAGTAGTTAGGGAGGTGCATTCAGCAGTCAGAGCCGTTCCTCACACCTCTGTGAGAATGGCAGGCAGGCTGAGAATGGCAGGCAGGCCTGGCATGGCTTGTCAACCAGTGAGGCAGGGGCTGGAGGAACTTGTCCGGGACATTGCATGTGCACATTTCAGACAGGCAGCACATTGTTTTCTTCTTGGTACTATCAAGGAAGGAAGAGTAACTAGGATTCGGTTCTGCAGAAACCAGAAGTGGGGATGGTCCTGATGAAGGAAGGTAGGAGGCAGTCAACTGGGCACTGCCTTGGGCTGTTACGCGAGCATCCAGGCTTTTCATGACAGCAGGCACCAGCAGGATTGCTCTGTCCCTTCAAAGTGTAGCCTCTGGGCTGGTGTGCCAGATGCCTGTAATCCCAGATACTCAAGAGGTAGCAGGTTTCCAAGTTCAAGGCCATCCTGGGCAAGTCATGGTTCCTAGAGAGACGACTCAGTGGTTAAGAGCACTGGCAGAGGACTCTGGTTCAGTCCAGTATCCACACAGTGGCAGAGCCATCGAGGGGATATGGTGCCGTCTTCTAATCTCCGAGGGCACTGCACGAATGTAGTATAAATACGTAGCTTCAGTCAAAGCACTCATGTCTATAGAATAAATCTAATTTTTTTTTAATAAGAAAATACTGAGGATGGCAGAACCGTTTCTTAGCATGTAAAACTTCCTATGTTCGTTCCCAGAACTAAACTAAGTGTGGATTCTTTGAGGACGGGGAGCCAGGCCCTCCCTCAGCCGTCTCCGGTTCTTAGTGTGGGTGTTTGTTGAGTGCTTGTGTTCCCTTGGCCTGTTTAGTTGTGTCTGTCAGTGTGGTCATGTGATGCCTTCACCTGGTTAAAAACTTGGTTCACATAAGAATTAGTTCCCCCTCTTTGGCTCTTTTTAAAAGTTGGTTCTTGGACTGGGAATGTCGCAGTAGAGTAGAGTCCTTGCCTGACGTTCACAGAGCCCTGTTTGGTCCCCAGGACTGCTTAGCAGCAGATGTCGTGGTGTAAGCTAGCACTTGGGAGGTAGACACAGGAGGATTAGAACTTTGACGTCATCCTTCACTACACAAGGCGTTGGAGGCCAGCCTGCGCTGTATAAATAAAAAGTAAATAAATAAAATAAAGATTCTTAATCACAACTGGCTTGGCTCTTCTATGAAGGGTCATCCTGACTGCTCATAGGCTAGCCCAGTTGCTCATGGGTTCCTAATCTACTTGAAATCCTATCACTGGGGATTCCTACTGGTCACTCAGTGAGCCCAAGACCAGGCTTTTAAAATGTGAATACCTTTGGGTTAAGTCAGTATACATTGTTGAGCATTCACGTGCCAGGAGCAGAGGGTTAGCATGCCCCACCCACAGCCTCTGCCCAGCTCCTCAGCCCTAGTTGACCTGGAACTTGCCATACTATACTGGTTTCAAACTCATGGAGATCCATCTGCCTCTGCCTTCCAAGTGTTAGGATTAAAGGCAATACAGCATCATCCCCAGCCTTTAAAAATTAACATTTTTTTTCCTTAACATTTTTTCTTGGTGTGTGTGTGTGTGTGTGTGTGTGTGTGTGTGTTCTCACCTAACCATGTGCATCCCAGGGATTGAACCTAGGTCATCAGGCATGGCTGTAGGTATCTTTTTTTTTTTTTTTTTTTTTTTGGTTTTTCGAGACAGGGTTTCTCTGTGTAGCTTTGCGCCTTTCTTGGAGCTCACTTGGTAGCCCAGGCTGGCCTCGAACTCACAGAGATCCGCCTGGCTCTGCCTCCCGAGTGCTGGGATTAAAGGCGTGCGCCACCACCGCCCGGCGGCTGTAGGTATTTTTACCTTGTAAGCCATCTCTGGCCCTTGTTCTCTGTTTTAAAATGAGATACCGGCTATCAAACAAGGGCTTCCCCAGTACTAGGCAAGCACTCTATCATTTAGCTGTCTCCTCAGCCCCTTGATCTTTAAGGGAACTTGGCCCTTTCGGTGAGCTCATGATCCATCAGAGGATGATAACCATTTGAAGGCCTCTAGTTTATTAATTGACCATCAGGAATGTTCTCTGTAGTTCAGTTTCATGAGGCTGACATTCTTAAATGTTGCTCTTGTTCCTGTTTGCAGAAGATGAGGTGAATCTTCTGGTTATCGTAGTTGACACCAACCCGATTTGGTGGGGCAAGCAAGCATTAAAGGGATCTCAGGTAAGATGGCTCGAGCCTTCCCGTGATTCTCTTCACCTTCAGTATGTCTGTGTGCCACCCACTACCCTGCAAGCAGTGTTGAGTCTTCCCAGGCTGGGTGTGGTGGCCCTCGTCCAATCCTAGCACTCAGGTGGAGGCGGGCGGCTCACCAGAGGTCAAGCTCCTCCTCTGCCAGCCTGGGTTACTTGAGACACTGTCAGAAAAGGAAAGCCGTGCGTTTACAACAGCTGCCAGTTACACTGTACAGACCAGGGAGTTCTCAGAGCAGGGAAGTTGTGTGGCTGGTACCACGGTTCCTCCTCGGAACACACGTGAAGCCCTCACACCTGCTGACCTGTTGACTGGCCCCACCCCCATCCTCCACGTGTAGGGAGCTATTGATTGCTTCCTCTCTATTTTGCTCTTCTAAACAGTCCGTGTATCTGTTGTATGAGTAGGCATCTCTTGCTGTAGATTTACTTGGGGTGGGGTATGGTGTGTCACAGCATGTATGTGGAGGTCAGTGAACAACTTTTGGGTTCTTTGCTTCAATCATGTGCTCTGGGGATTGAACTCAGGTCATCAGGCTTGGTGGAAGGCGCCTTTAACCATTGGGCTATCCTACCAAACCTCATCATTGGAGTTTTAAGATAGGGTCATCCTTTTTTCTTTTTTTAACAATTTTTTTTTTTGTGTGTATGTCTGTGAATGTTTGCCTGCTTGTAGAGGTCTGGAGTTAGTTCACTCCTTTTGCCAAGTGGGTCCCAGGCATCAAAGTTCCTATATTTTCTGAGCCATCTCATTGACCCAAGGTTTTTTTTGTTTGTTTGTTTTGGTTTTTTGGTTTTTTGCGACAGCGTTTCTCTGTGTACCTTTGTGCCTTTCCTGGAACTCGCTTTATAGACCAGGCTGGCCTCGAACTCACAGAGATCCTCCTGCCTCTGCCTCCTGAGTGCTGGGATTAAAGGCATGCGCCACCACTGCCCGGCTGACCCAAGTTTTAAATTTTAATGAAACACAGTTTATTTATTAAAACAAAACAAACAAGATTGTGCTTTTTTTTTTTTTTTTTTTGAGACAGGGTTTCTCTGTATAGCTTTGTGCC